TTTTTTTTTTTTTTTTTTTTTTTTTCTTTTAATTAAACTGATATAATTTCCTAAAGTTCCCAATCTCTGGCAGAGATAGGATATCAAGTTAAAGCCAAATGATCTGGAGGAAATACCAGGTGGCAGGAGAAAGTACTTAAGTGGATGACAGAAGGGCTGTACAACCTCTGTAATGGAGTCTTTAACAGCATCTTCAAGCCCTTCTTGTAGAGACACCTTATTTCCCATTACCATGCTCAAATGAAACTAAAGCAAAACCCTGGAACTAACTAGTCAGTATTAATCAGGTCACAGCTTTACCTCTCACTGGTCCCTTGGGAAAGGGAAGACAACCAGAGTTCACTCAATACAATGCTTAATCAACTTCCCCTCCCCTAAGATGACACAGCAGCAGTTGGCAAGAGAATCCAGAGATATTCCTCCTTCTGAGCTTTGGAACAAGTCCTCTATTTTTGCATGTATGTCCTGACAATACTGACTTGAAGAAAAGCAGTGACAGAAACTGGGAATGACTGTGATATGCTTATCTGATAAAGTTAACTCTGGTAGATTACAGTTAGGAAGAATGCTGTAGTAAAAAGTATGTATTTTGAATACTGTGATTTGACTTCAGGTTTGACCAGACCCAAGCCTCTTGCCATCTACTGAGCCTGTTTCAATAGTGATCTAGAATTTCAAAACTTTACCAGGTCCCATCATCTACACCTACTGCTTACAAATAAAATATTCAATATCTGGCCAAGGTTTTATTCTTTTTCTCTAATTTCTAAGAGAAACCATACTTATATATGCATTTTAATTTATTATACCTGAATGCTACTAAGAACTCAAACATTAAAGGTGGCTTCTCAAGACAACTGACAACGCATGACTTGACCTTAACATGTTGCAATGACTGCAGGTAAAATATTATAGTTCACACTTAACAGGTGTATAGCCCCTCTTACCAGATATATCAATTCTATTTTTAAAAAACAATTCAGCTTATATTTCACAATCAGATTTTCAGAAAACTAGAGCAAAGATATGCCTAGCTACAAGAAAAACACCAGTGGGAGGCCAAGTAATTTTCAAAACACTGAGTTCATTTTCTCTAGTCTTTTTCACTGTTTAAAAGCTCTGAAAAATCAAGCATTTTGCACCAGTCCCCATTTTTTAAAATCACTAACTTTAAACATGTGAAGATTTGTAAAATAATAATTTATTTTGGTCTTTACATATCCATACCCACAAAAAGCAAGACCAGATGCTATATAACAGGGCCTGCTAAAACCAACAAGGAATCATTCAACTATTATATGCTTACTTCCATTATATCCAGATGGTCTCCAAAAATACAGTACAAGTTACTTGCAAATTAATGAGCTTGTAGTCTCATTATGAGCATGATGTTCATAGAATTTAACACAGACAAACTGCAAGATACACTAAAGTAAGGCCATGTTATTAACAAATTTGCTGTTGCATAAGTTCAGGGTTCCAAGACACAATTTCTTAAAAGATAAACAGGAAGCATTAAGGAATCACTACACAATGCTTGTAAGGCTGCTACTGGTTGGCAGTTTGCCACCTCCCCCCCTCTCCATTTCCCGCACCATATGATTAAATCTTGCAGCACTGGTAGGAATAAAGAAAAACTGAAGATGGGGTTGGGAGAAGAGTTACGGGGCACCAAATATTAATGAAAACATATAAAAGAGCTAACCTGAACATCTTGCATGTGTGGTGACTGAATGACTGAGGGGTGTATGGCTTGAAGGACACCCTGGACATGAACAGTTTGACCAGAAGGCAAATGCACTAGAGATACAGCTGGAGATCCTCTTCCAGCACTTGATGCAGCTACAGAAACCTGAAAAAATTACAATCATCATGTTTAAGTAACATGCCTTAAGATGTCAGCAAATGCTTTTATATGTGATACTAAAAAAACCTAGTTTTGATTCCATATCTAAAATAGCTTAGATATGTGTAATTATCACACACAGAAAAAATAGTTTTACTAATAAAAGTTTGGTCTGTATCTTTCAAAATGGTATGGAAATCTTAAAATTGTTCCGAATCAAATTGCAAATCTTTCCTACTCCTTTTTTTTTTTTTTTCTTCCAGAGACCTCATGTTTTCTTTTCAGTTAAAAACAACCCTAAGCTATCACACACATGAAATCTGCTGTTGCTAGCATGAAGTTAGGAAGAACCTCAAGAAATGTAACAAAAAAATACAGTATTCACTGAAGTGGTATGTTGCTGCAACAACACACAGGGCAGAATGTTCTCAGTCAGGAAAAAAATCTAAAAAAATAACCCCTAACTGCTTTGGGTTTGCTTTATTTGTTAGGTGAGTTTAGTATGAACTTACACTTTTAAGACAGATATCTCAAGAGATCCAAGAACTTTAAAGATGGGGAAAAAAAAAAAAGTTAAATGAAGAAATAGATGGATTTATAAGTTGTTTTAGTTTAATAAATCCCCTTTTATATATATATAGTGATATATCAAGAAAAACAGAGTTGGATTGTGTCAGTGCTTCAATACAACAAAAGAAAATAAAGAACAGCTGTATCTTCTTTAAGCCTAGCAAAGCTGAGGAAAGTGTTCTTGTTTAGGAATAATCTGAGCCCTTTCTCCAATGGCATTTGAGAGCACACCCAGCTTTCCTCAGCCCTTGGCTCTCAATCATCACTGAGGAAGAAAGAGTTAAACACCTATAGGCTAAGAAACAGTTCAATATTTATGCTATAACTGTAAAGTCTACTAACAGAAATACTGAAGCAACGGGAAAACACTATGATTGACGTCCAGTTCTGTGTGATGAAACATCTCTAAACTCAAAAGGAAGAGAATGACAAACGTAAATCATACAATAAAAAGAGATATTGTGTTTGTCAAAGTAAGATTCACTGAAAAATCTTATTTCTATATTCTGCATGTACAAAAATAATCCCAGGCTCATATTTAAAATTCTGGTATTATTCTATTCCTAGCTTAGTTCTCAGCCCCAAAAGGTGTCTGGTACAAGCAGTAAAAAGAGATGACAATGGAAAGAAAAACATGGTGAATGCTAAAAAAAAAAAAGAAAATTTTTATATATATA